CAGCTACATTCATAAAGGTCAAGGCAACCTGGGTTTCAGTGCAGGGGCAGCTTACAGGAGGAGGTGGTGATACTGAGGGGCACAGGGCACACAGCAAGAAACGTAACAAGAAACATAACCCTGCCCGTGTTGTGTTTCTAGAACACTGAGAACAGCCCTTCTATCTCGTTGACTCCATTCTAGTCTGGAAGTTGATTTGCCAAGGTTTCTTGTAAGAATGTCCAGGAAAGAGTGTCACAGAATAAGCATAATTGAAATAGCTTTTAAGATTCTATCAATTTGTCTAAATAGATAAATACTAAAAAATTATAGGCTTCTTTGGAAGTCATAAAACTTGTGTTTTCATCCTGGATCTGTGGTTTCCTAACTCAAAACCAAGTCAATTTACTTACAGAGGATTTAGCTTCTTTTCCTGTAAAATAGTCTTGGGTTTGATCTCCTCTACAGTTCCTACTAACTATACAAGTCCATGACCAGGACTATGTGCAATGTGCATAGACTTCCCTTATATATAGCTTAAGGGTAGCAATAAGTCTAGCCCATCAACTATTTTACAACAAATTGTATTTATATTGTACTCCCATGCATGAAATTGAAACGATAAAAATAATTTCAAAGGTATGTTGATTTTATGTCTAAATTCATATTTTAAGAATAATTTTGTAATTATAGCCAGTGGCAAGAAAAATAATGAGTTCAATTAGAATTAAATGAGGGAAAGGGGATATTTTCTTTGATATTAACTTTTTATAACAATAGAAAGTTATTTTTCTATCCAGGAATAAGAGTCTACTATTAAAATTAGGGTTGTTGAGTGACAACCTTCAATTAAGTTGGTTGATATTAACCCAGTTCAGCCCCTAATTTTTCCATCAATCACCTGCTTTATCTTCATGGAACCATTTCAAGTGAAATTCAAATCCATTAGTATCTAGTTAATTTCTGAATCTTATTATTTGCATCAGACTAGAAACTGCTAGCATTCTTCTCTGAACTACTTAAAGCAGGAAAACCCACTGTAACTTTTTTTAAAGTTATTTTTAATATCATAAATATGTAACTCAGAAAAACTAAAGGGATACATCTAAATAGATTGTCTAATAGGTAAGATTATTTAAGAAATCAGTTCTGTTATCTGGAATATAGACTTGAGAGTATTGAAAAAGTAAGGCTTTCTAGAATTATCTATGCAAGCTTTATAAATTTAGTTAACGTAGAAATATCATCCATCATTTACAGTTATGACTTTTTCAGGACAATGAGACACATTACTTGTAAACTGGAAAAGGGCTGGCTCGTGCCCTACAGTTTAGTGAAACTTTTCCTTCCAGTGATTCTTCTGGATAAATGGTATTGATTGGTTGCTCCTCAAAAATTGGTCCAAATCCTTTGTCCTCCTCAGAAACTGCGAGAAAAATAAAATTATTTTATATGTCAAGGAAAATCTGGATATACAGAAAAAGGTTATTTAAAAAAAAGGCAAAAAAAAAAACTCCAATTTAAATCAAAAAAAAAAAAATAACCCCAAGAATTCGAATAAAAAACATTCAGTTCTGTATTCAAAATTTTCTCCTATCCATCCCACATCATTTTCCTAAAAGTACATGATGATTTCATGCTTAACTACTTCCAGTTCCTCATGCCATGCTTTCATGCCCTGGGCCTTTCCATATACTTTGCCTCTTTCTAGAATCACCACTGCACTCTTCTGCTAAAATTTATATGGTCCTTTGTAATCTGATCATGAAGTTAGTTCCTTTAGGAAGCTATCTTCAGTAAGGGTACGTAGCATACCCAACGTAATTCTTAAAGGCAACCTTTCCATCCCATTAGATGGTCAGTGCTTGGTGACTATGTCTTTAATCTCCATATACCACATAGGTGGCTATATCTTTAATCTCTGTATACCAGTTTCCTAACTTGGTGTGTGTCTGCATGGAATACAGAGGTGCTTTAAAAGTTTGTTACAAGAGAACAAATAAATTTCTAGAAGCTCTAGGTAATTAGTCTCTTTTCTATTCCCTATTTATATATTTCCTAAACATGTGACCATCACTGGTACTCAGCAACATTTAGAACAACTCAAAAACAAATAACTTGAGTACAAGGTCTGACCAACTGGTTTGAAATTCATCACAACATCAATATTGTTAAGAAAGTGTTCCCAGCACTCTGTCCTCTCTGGAAGGAAAGGTAACAATGCACAGCAGAATGAAGAGAAGGGGCTCACATGTCACCATTGTTGCAGCATTGGCACTGCACAGCTCAAGGCCCTATTGATCTGATCAGTACATACTGATCTATGTGGCTAGAAAGGGGGAATATTCTTATATAGGGTTACTGAAATGTCTCTCCTAGTTCAAATACATAGTTTATTCCTCCAGTTTATTTTTTTAAGAGAGTTTAAGGCAAATGCCATGCTGGCTTTTTATCTTCTCTAACATCAACCTTGAAGAGATATGTTCCAACTTACTTTAACATACGGTTTATTTATGTCACTTAATTTTTGTCACATACCATATATCCATGTGCCACTGGACAAATTATTTAATCTCTCTAAGTCTCAATATCACCTTTATAAAAGAGGAATCATGAAGTCTATCTCATAGGATTATTATCACAATTATTTTGAGACATGCATGGAAGACAGTAGTGTACCTACCTGGCACATCATTAGTAATCAATAAATACTTATTATGCAAAAATTGTTATAAACTTACCAACACTTTCAAATATTAATTCACATTTTTATGTATATCAATTCTCAGAAAAGTCACAAAGCTCCAAAAAGACAGAGCCAACTTGTACTCAGTCTTATACTACAGCTGTGGTGCTATTAGTATAGCACTAATGTTGTGTAGTCTTGGACACTCAATACAAACTCCTTAAGGTAGTTTCCTCTACTAGGAAGCATTAATTTTTCTAAACTAACTCAAAATTTTTCAAAGAGAGTTGCCTCATTTTTAGCTGAAATGCCCAAATTGCCATTCAAGAATTTATAGACCTCAGCCACATTTCATAACCACCATAACCATTTCAGATAGCCACTAAATTGCTCAGGGGACCTGGAATTTATCTCCATCAATTCACTTTTCTAGTTGTTGTTTTATGCAAGCTACTTGTACTACATGGCTTCTACATTTATAAAGAAAAGAATAAGGGCTGGGGATGTGGCTCAAGCGGTAGCACGCTCGCCTGGCATGCGGCGGCCCGGGTTCGATCCTCAGCACCACATACCAACAAAGATGTTGTGTCCGCCGAGAACTAAAAAATAA